AAATTAAAACTGGGAGAATCTTAGAAGGCTCTTGCAATGGTATGCCTCATTTCCCAGAATTGGATTATTTGTTGCAGATAAAAACTGATAACTTGGCCAGATAGATCAGAATTATGTTACACATAGATGTTTCCTTTTTGATTAAGACTGTGTGTGTGTATGTGCGTGTGTGTATGAGAGACAGAGAGAGAGTGTATATGTGTGTGTGTGCGCGCATGTGTGAGTGTGTTAGTGTGTGCGTGTGTGTGAGAGAGAGTGTGTGTCTGTGTGTGTGTATGTGTATGAGAGACAGAGAGAGAGTGTATATGCATGTGTGTGTGCACGCATGTGTGTGTGTGTTAGTGTGTGCGTGTGTGTGAGAGAGTGTGTTTGTGTGTGAGAGAGAGTGTGCATGTGCTGTGTGTGAGAGAGAGAGTGTATGCGTGTGTATGAATGCGTGTGTGTGTATGTAATTCAAATTTTACTAATAGATCAAGTTTTATCTGCTCACCGTAGGACAAATATCCCACTGTAGCCAAGCCAAGCCAGTGAATATAAAGCTTTCTGTAATGCCTTTTCCCCCTTGTTGTTGCAAACATTTCTCAGCACCCTGCAGTCTGACTGCCTATTTCTTTTATCAATATCTAGACATGCTAATACCTTATTTCAGAATCTGACTTTTTTTTTGGAGGGGATGGAGCAGTTAGAAAGCAGCTAAGTCTCCCTCTGACAGGACTTTGTGGACTTGTGTAGACGTCCCTGTATCTGGGAGAAAAAGACAAGCAACTCAGGAAGTAGAACAGATGAGATATCCAATGACCAGAGTTATTTGGTTTGTGATAGCACTATTACTTAATCTTTGCTAAAAAGATGCATGAAGTCTAACAGTTCGATTTACATCTCCATGCCAATCATAGATCAGCGTTCTCTTCTTGTTATGTAAAAGTGATGACAGTGGATGCAGATACAATAGGGGCGTTTAAGGGACTTTTAGATAAGCACATGAATATGCAAAGAATGGAGGGATATGGACCAAGAGCAGGCAGAAGAGATTAGTTTAATTTGGCGTCATGTTTGGCACAACATTGTGGGCCAAAGAGCCCGTGCCTGCACTGTATTATTTTATGGGTGAAGTTTATTCGCTGACTGGGTGAAATTGACCTTAACACATTAACCATTGGCTTTATTTGCTGTGTTTGCATAACAGGATGCTAACAGTATAAAAATAAGCAACTTTTCTGTCTGCTCGGGTTTTGCCTCAGTCCAATAACTGAGGCAGATCTCTCCTTACAACACTCAGATAAAAGAATCATGAAAGCCTTTACTCAGCTCACAACGTAGAATCCCTATAGTGTAGAAGCAGGCCATTCAGCCGATACTGACCCTCTGAAGAGTATCCCACCCAGACCCAGCCCCCTACCCTGTAACCCTGCATTGCCCACAGGTAATCGAGCTAGCCCACACATCTTCAGTCTGTGAGAGGAAATCAGAGTAAACCCACTCAGACAGTCGCCTGAGGGTGGAATTGAACCCAAGTGCTGTGCAGCAGCAGTGCTAACCACTGAGCCACCCACGCCTGATGTTTTCTTCTCCAAAATCGTGACAACTGTGTTTCAATGAACACTGCATCTTTGATTTCTGTGCAGTGTAGAGGCATATTAAATGCATCAATTAACTCCACATAACAGTTTGATGTTGTACTGAGCCCCAAAATGTGCTCTACAGGTGCTGGAATAATTTTCATCTCAAATCTGGTATCCACAATGTGAATGTGTTTGCAACTGTCTGTGATAATTAACTGGTTTGTTTAAAAAAAAAATCTTCTCATGTTAATATGCAGTTTATTTTACGATATAGTTTTATGAATTAATTGTGGTTTTATGCTTCCAAACATGTTGGGTACAGACATTGCACTATGCAGACATAGAGTAAGGTAGGAGCCTAAAGTGGTAACTTACAAACTGAGAGTGGTTCGTGTGTGAAATGAACTACCAGAGCAAGTGGTGAGTGCAGGAGCTATTACAGTGTTTAAGAGACATTTGGATAGGCACGTAAATAGGAAGGGTTTGGAGGGATATAGAACAAATGCAGGCAGGTGGGAATAGTTTGGTTTGGGAACATGGTTGACATGGGCTAGTTGGACCAAAAAGTCTGTTTCCGCGCTGTATGCCTCTATGACAAACTTCAGTGATGTGGGAAGGTGCTGCAGTTGCGCTGTTTAGAACAGTGAAGGTGGATAGGAGGTTGAATAGAACTGTTCAAATTCTCGAATGGGCTTGATAGAAGAAATAAGGATTAATCCTTTACAGCAACATCAGCGTCCAAAGGAGGCAGATATTGCAAAACAAATCAGACAGATTTTTGCCATGGGTAGTTGTGAATTGGAATCCATTGATTGTAAAGATTGTGTGGAAGCAGATTCAATCAGAAATTTGGAATTGCTTTACTGCTGGCAAATGGAATAAATATAGGACTGTGGTGGGATGGTGCCATTGTTACCTGACAAGTAATCCAGGGGTCCTGGCTAATATTGTCCAGACAGGGGTTCTAATCTCAATAAATGTGGAGCTGGAAAAGCACAGCAGGTCAAGACAACATTGACTTCCCTGCTCCTCGGATGCTGTCTGACCTGCTGTGCTTTCCCAGCTCCACATTTATTGACTCTAACTTCCAGCATCTGCAGTCCTTACTGTCTCCAGGGGTTCTAATCTCATCACAGCACTGGGTGGAAATTAAATGCCATTTATAAAATCTGGAATCAGAAGTTCAGAGTAGCCGCACGGTGCAGATGGGGGCCATTCAGCCCATTTAATTTGAAGAGCATCACAGCCTGACCCTGTAACCCTACACTTCCCATGGCTAGTCAACCTAGCCGGCACACAATAAGGCAATTTAGCATGGCCAATTCACCTAACCCGTGCACGTTTAAGCTGTGGGAGGAAACGCAAACAGACACAGGGAGAATGTGCAAACTCCACACAGACAGTCGCCCAAAGGTGGAGTTGAATCCAGGTCCCTGGTGTTGTGAGGTAGCACTGCACCACTGTGCCATCTCTGGTTAGTCTCATTAATGGCAACTGTGAAACTATCATGGATTGTTAAAATAAAAACTCACCTGCTTAAACCCTTTAGGGAAGGAAATCTGCTGGCCTTACTCGATCTGGCCTGTATTTGACTCCAGATTCATGGCAAGATGGTTGACATGAAACTGGCTTCTGAAATGAATTAGCAAGCAACTCAGTTTCAGTGCAGTTGGGGTTGGGTAACAGTTGCTGCCTTGCCATTGATGCCCATGAGACAGTTTTATTTCTAAAATAAACAGGGAAGGGCGATTAATTAGATGACTGTGTGAAAGAGCTGATACAGGGTGATGGGCCGAGTAGCCTCCTTTTCTGCTTTATCAAGAGGAAGCACTGAGTCCTTTCCCAAAATCCCAGATCATGCCTATTCACCTGCCATCTCTTCACAAGCACATGGCTTACCTGAGACGCTTCCACTTAACCTGTTTCAATTCCTTTCCAAATTTGAGTCTCTTGGCTTGAACCTCGCACAATTCTAATGGCTTAAACAAAAACAAAGTTGCTGGAAAAGCTCAGCAGGTCTGGCAGCATCTGTGAAGGAGCAAACAGAGTTAACATTTCGGGTCCAGTGACCCTTCCTCAGAACTGCTGGCTTAAACTTAAATGGCTTAAACTTTGTCAGTTTGAAAAATTTGAGGACTTCCATACAAACACCCCTGGCTTGGAACCTCCACGGACTGGAAAATATTTTTGCCGTAGTGACTACTTGACCTAAAATGATTTGATTCTTCCAATCTAAACGAAAAATTAAACCAATGCCCCAGCCTAATTACTCTGCCTGTCCTAAACTCACTAATACAAACAATTTTGTTCATTAACACCACATGTTTTCTTAGAAATGTTGCATTTAGGTCACTGTCCAGGCAACTTTTTCTCTTAAAGAAAAATACCTTACGACACCAACCAAAATCTGTCTGCTTTTTAAAATCCAAATTACAGCATTATATAATGATTAATCTTACTCAGAAGCATCAATCCCAAACCCTTCACTTGTAACCACTAGCTGGTAACTCACTGACCCTAAACTGTGCTCTGTGATGTTGGACATGTGCTGCAATGTCACTGATCATAGAACACAGCCACTTTATCAATATCCACTGCAAGCCCAAGAGGATAACATTTAACCGCAGGCTCTTTGTAAAAGAGTCCAATGAGAAGCATTATTGAAGCAGTGAATGCTACAGAGTAATGCTGACAATTGCCATGAGGAAGTAAAGTTGTCCATGTGTTTCCCAGCCCTTCCCTCCCTCCCCACACCCACCTCCTATTTTCTATGGGATTCTGCGGATACTGGTGGATGAATGCTTAAGCAACTCTGTGGTCGTGCATTTTCCGTATTTGCTCTGTCAATGCCAAATCACTGTGTTGTTCAACGTAGTTTCCCAAACAAAAATAAGATTAAATTATTGAGGGATTTTAAATGAGAGTGTAGTTGACCCCTAGGGTGGCGCAGTGGCGCAGTGTCTCAGTGGTCAGCACTGCTGCCTCATAGCACCAAGGACTAGGGTTCAATTCCAGCCTCGGGTGACTGTCTGTGTGCAGTTTGCACGTTCTCCCCGTGTCTGTGTGGGTTTCCTCCAGGTGCTCTGGTTTCCTTCCACAGTCTAAGGTTAGGTGGATTGTCCATGTTAAATTGCCTGTAGTGTCCAGGGATTTGCAGACCAGTTGATAGGGTGCATCTGGGTGGAATGGTCTTCAGAGGAGCAGTGTGGACTTGATGGGCCAAATGGCCTTCTTCCTCACTGCAGGGGATCTATGATTCGTAAGCATTGCACATAATGATGAGGAGTGTGCCCAGAAGTGATCATTCAAATGAGATTATGATAGTCTGGACAGTTAATGAATCAGTTCACTGTTTTCTCTCCACTTCAATGATTGAAAATTTGTGAACAGTGAAACGTGGCAAAATAACTGCAAATAATAAGATCCATCACAAGCTCAAACATTTCTTTTTGTTTTAATGCGTTGATACCTCGAGCACAGTGTCTTCTCAAGTGTAAAGAGTCTGAATGCATATACAGGTGAAAGACATTAAAACTACAATAAGGATACAGAGCAGTCGATACAAACATTCCAGTTCAGAATTGAGTCTCCACGAAAATAAGTAATTATATTTCTATTTTATTATCTGGATCCTAAATCGCTTTAAATCCTTTCTCTTCATCCCACTTTCTCCAATGTATATTTGAATGCTTGCAAAATCGTAGGCATTTACCACGGAACTGTAAAGAGATCTCTCCTGATCCCTGGTGTAAAACTATACTACATTAATCATTGATTTTTAATTACATTAATCGTTGCCACTGGTTCCTAAGCCCTAAGCATTATGTTTCCTCGTCCTCCTCGCTCCTGTTCATCATCATTTTAAGCCTATTATCTCAGCTCTACAGTAACAGGCACAACACTTAATTGTGCACAGGGGGCCATCGCTGAATGTCCTGCATCTGGACTTTACCGTTCTGTCATTCTGTCTGTCCCACTTTGCAAAGAAGGGGGACAGCTATTCTCTACACCTGAGGCTCAAGCCACACATTGCCTCTCTCTAGTCAGCTTTTCACGAGCCTCTGGCATTGATTATGCCATACTGGAGATTTTTGAGAACGTGTTTTTTTTTCACACGGTCGCTGACAAGGCTGGCACTTTTCACTCATTTCTATTTAACTTTGAACTGAGTGACTCCCTAATTCCATTTCGGAGTCAACCACATCGCTGTGAGTCTGGAGTCAGATGTAGGCCAGAGAACAGGCAAAATAAGGCCAGCGGAAGTCTTTCCGCAAAGGGACCTTAATCTAACAGAGACAACACAGTGTAGAACTGGATGAACACAGCAGGCCAGGCAGCATCAGAGGAGCAGGGAAGCTGACGTTTCGGGTCGGGACCCTTCTTCAGAAATGGGGGAGGGGGAAGGGAGCTGAGAAATAAATAGAGAGAGAGGAGGTGCGGGGCATGGGCTGCTGTGTTTCTCCAGTTCCACACTGTGTTATCTCTGACTCCAGCATCTGTAGTTCTACCTATCTTTCATTAATCTAACAGATGGGTTTTTTTACAACAACGGACACAAGTCTGTAGTCACCATTAGACCCAATGGTCTAATAATTCCAGGTGGGATTATTTGAATCTAAATTCCACTTTACAGTACAGAAGAGGCCCATCAGCACTGAAATAAAACTGCACTAAACCCACCAAGAAGAACTGTGGATGCTTGAAATCAGAAGCAAAGACAGAAATTGCTGAAAAAGCTGAGCAGCTCTGGCAGCATCTGTGGTGAGAAATGATTTCACTCTGCAAATGCTGCCAGACCCGCTGAGCTTTTCCAGCAATTGCTGTTTTTGTTCACTAAATCTATATCAGTGCTACTTTCCCACATTTGGCCCAAAGCCTTGAATGTTGTGACATTTCAAGTGCACTTTTCCAAAGGTTGTGAAGTTTCCCCTCACAACTACCTTCCCAGACAGTGCATTCCAGATCCCTGGGTGACCTCTGGGTGAAATTTGTTTACCTCAAATCCCCTCTAAACTCCTCAAAATTAAGCCTTTTGGTTGTTGACCCTTCGACTGAGAGGGACAGCTGTTTTCTATCCATGCCGTCCATGCCCCTCATAATCTTCCACACCTCAAACAGGTCGCCCCCCACCCCCGACAGTCTTCTCTGCTCTAAGGAAAGCAACTCAAAACTTATTGCTCTATAGCTACGTTGCAGGGCTGGGATTGAAACCCTCTGAGCATTAGCCAGACCCTTCAAGTCCTGTGACTGTCCCTGCCTCAACTTTTCCTACAAGTGCTGGGAACCCCTCTCCCCCATTCTGATCTCCAGCATCTCTGCATGTCTGCAGTTGTTCACTCGGTAACCTACTTCCATTGGTGCTCCCTCCCCACCCTCGTTCCTCTCTCTCTCTCTCTCCCGCCCCCCACTTTCAACCCCACATCCCCCGCTGTTCCAGTTGGAGTCCAGGATCCTCTTAGGTGGCATTACAAATTGTAATGTCGTCAATTTCCACACCCTGATAGCGACTGGGCCTGAATGAGAGAGGATTTCTATAAAATGCATAAAATTCCAACAGCTCTGGAGAGACTGAATGCTTGCCTTGCCTGGAGGGAGAGGGGCGGTGGGGGGCGCAATGCTGTTGAGGTCTAGACCAATGGGGTCTCAGAATACAGAATAGACCATTTGGCACTGAAGTGAGGAGAAATATCCTCACTTAAGGGGCTGGTGAACCTGTGGACCTCTCTACCACAGAAGGCCATGATGCCATTGAATATTTTGAAGAAATAAATGGGATTCCACAGGCCAAAGGCGTCAAGGTGGTGGGGGGGTTGGGGGAGAGACAGCTAGGGACATGAAGGCGAGGTGGAGGGTCAGTCACCCTCTGTTGAGTGGTTTGACGGGCCGAGTGGCCATTCCTTTCTCTCCTGGGGTTGGTCTCCGCATTTTCACCCCACTCACTGAAGCAGTTGCTGCGTTTCTCCTCCAATCCTCTCCTTCCCACCCCCATTTCAGGAATCCAGAAAGGACCGAGCTGTGAGATCCGGCCTGGCGGATATTATGGGATGGACGGGGTTTATTGAGCTCTGGCGCTGCAGATGCTCAGAGGAGCCGAGTTGGATCCGTCGTGATTGGGCCCGGGTCAGAAGAAAGGGTAGACCCTCTCGGCGAAAGGGTGGGTGTAGGTGTGCAGATGGGACATGTTATCCGCATTGTAAAACGAAACCTGCCCAGCCCCGTGGTCCAGCAGGACCCCCACCTTCCGGGGCCCGGCACTCGGGCTGAGGGGGGTCAGGGACGGGGCGATGCGGGCCACGCAGCCATGTTTGGGGAAGAGCCAGACGGTCCAGTACCCGCACTTGGGTGTGGGATCGATCTCCCCCTTCCGAGGTGCGGACTCCGCAGCCACCCCCAATCCCCACCATGTCTTATCGGCCACTTCCACCTGCCAGTAGTGCCTTCCAGACGTGAACCCCTCCGACGCCAGGACGAAAGCACCGCGGTCAAACCTCTGCGGGATGTCGGGGAGCTCCCGCTCTTCGTTCCCCAGTCTCACGCTGGCCCGGTCCTCAGACACCATGAGCCAAGGATTAGCTGTGTCTACATCCAGAATCACTGAGACTGGGGCTATGGGAGAGACAGAGAGAGAGAGAGAGAGACGGGTGGAGGATGGGTGTTGATTTCCCGAAGCGATTCCTTAAACCAGAGTCTCCATTTTCCCTTCTGTTTGACAAACACTGACGACGTGCCCCACACTTCCCAGTGTCTCTCTACATCAGAGGATTTACACGCTGAACCGACGATTTCACTTTCTGGCATCTCCCCGGACACTGCTATCCCGATCGGAAATTCCTGCCCTCCCTCCTCCTCCTCCCATTCTCTTCCACCACACCCCCCACATTGCACACCCAGCCTCCCCCACATTGAGCTCACATCCCACTTTAATGTCGCCTCCCCACCCATACACCTCCACCACACCATTCCCCACCCCGCCCCCACAACTTCATTATCACGCCCACCCCCCGGCCCAATTCCACCCCAACCCCACACCGACCTCTCCCTCACTACGCACCTCCTGTACCGCACCCATCTCCTGTACCGTACCCACCTCCTGTACCGCACCCACCTCCTGTACCTCACCCACCTCCGGTACCACACCCACCTCCTGTACCACACCCACCTCCTGTACCGTACCCACCTCCTGTACCGTACCCACTTCCTGTACCTCACTCACCTCCTGCACCGTAGCCACCTCCTGCACCGTACCCACCTCCTGTACCGTACCCACCTCCTGTACTGTATGCGCCTCCT